GATCTCTGATTTCGTCGGCATCAGGAAGAACACATAGTAACCAGAAAAACTACTTACTTTTTCATTTCTCTTATTCTTGACTTTTGTTTCTGGTAAATTAAGCCTACCATTTCTTGCGCTTAGACACTAATTACTGTCTATATCGCCTACTAAAGCTAGTTCAGAGTCACCACCATTCTAAAAGGATCCATCATATGACTACTTGACTTCGGTAGAACCATTTTTACCCGGACTCGAACTCTTCCCCGTTGCGTTACCGAAGTCTGATCACTACGAGGTAATAGTCTAGCCGAATGTTCTCCGGAGGGTCACCACGATATCTCCGACACAACCTAAGTGAGACATAGTCTACCCCGTTTCGAAGTAAAGTTCGCGAAAGAATGAAATGAGAAATAGGTGACGACCCTTGCGTTTCGTCTGACCGCGAACATCGACTGGTGTCTGACTTTCTACAGTGGTATCTGGCATTGGGATTACGCCTACTTTCGCCACCTTTCACCATATCAGGCCACAGATTTCCGTACATACTAGTACTGAGAGAACCAATTGAACGAGTTGATTTAAGAACCCACTAGGAGAACGCTGTCGAAGGCGTCTCATACTCTCAGGGGTTAGTGTGGCGTGTTGCGACGCGGGTACGTATTCCGAACTGGCCCGGTTTACCATACAAAAACATACGGGGGAGTGGGTAGTCGCTGAATCAGCCAGCCCTTAGTGGCCTTAGGAGTATCCGCCAATCCGCCCAAACTACTAAATTTCATTACTTTATGGATCAGGTTAAGAGGCACATTATCTAGTTACTTTGTCATTGTCCCGGCCTATCCCGAAAACGCCGTGGTAGTATAAGCTAGCCGGTCAAGCTAACGTGCATATAAGGACAATAGTTCAATAAGTTATTGTTCCACAAATGCTACGCTAACTGCGTTACTTCGGTGAAATATAAACTTTGTTTCGTAAGGCCGCGTTAAGGACGCCGAGGAAAGTATTCGAGATCCAGAATTGAAACGCAGCCGAGACTTGCTGGCTACTGCGTAGCGCCGTTACTACCGAGTCAGTATCTGTCAATGGAATGGCTCAGGCCTCTCGGTGCAATGGCAGATCCCACCCAATCTTTCCCACCGGCCCCTAACAACGCAGACTTGCTCTGGATGCCTGAAGAAGCGACTTCAATTTTTCGAAGCTCCCGTTTGCTAAGTAGCGATATTTCCTATCGAGAAACGCGATCAATACACGAAGTAGATCCAGGGTATAACGAAAAATTATGACTTCCAACTTCAACAGTAGGATAGGCTATCGTGCTGCACAAACGTCGACCGGTCTATGCGATCCATGAATGTGGTAAAAGTTGAAATATCAGGGGTAGGGATAGTATGGAATAGATTTTGTTGATGTGATGGTGAAAGTAAAGTCAACGAAAAGAATGGCCCAGTGAAAACTAATCATTACGCCAGCCATTCAGAGGGAAAAGAGGGCGGTGAATAGCAATTAAGTACGGCAGATTGTCAGGCTCATAACTATCGGAGCAAGCTGAGATAGCATGGACTAGTAAAACTCTTGGACGGATAGACAACCAGACAGGTTCAGGCGGAACCAATCTTGGATAACTCCAAGGGTATTAATTACTATACAAAATACATATGAAATTAAGCCACTCAGTATAATCCTCTCTAGGTGGTAAGTTACCGCTCCATATCTTGACATAATCTTTCGACAGATGTCAAGACAGTCCTAGTCGTAAGCTTTTCATCGTTACGAGTTCATCTTCTCGTGCATATAGTGTAGTAGCGGATAAACCTGGACAAATGATTGAAATATTCTTGGAAGATGAATAGAGTCCGAAATTCGGGGCCGAACGACCTCGGGTTCGGCTACCGCCCGACCATCACCCACCTACGAATGATCGGACACGCTGGCGAAGACTTTGGAACCAAACATTGAACCGCTTGGCACGGCAGAATCGGACGCTGCGTCCACTGGCATTGCGCCTCTCGTATCTAGGCGGCAGAACTTGAGACCCGGCCGCCTGATCCTCGACTTGTTCCTCCTAGAGATCCTCTTGAAACTAGCGCCCGGTACTATTTGGTGTCTTCCTCGTATCGCTACTGAGGGTGTTGAGTGGTCGTCCACTCTATGAAGTGTTTGTCCAGAAATATTTACAACAATAATCATGATTCCCGAGCAGCTGGAAACCGCCCTACCTGGGAAGCCCGAATGGGACCATTTGAATCTGAACGGGGCTTCAGGTTGGGCCGCCACTTAGTTGGATGTTGGCTCGGCGTATTCACCCAATGGCTGCGTGCTCCTATTTACAAGTTGTCATCATGGTCTAGTATGGGACCATCAAGCCATTCGCCCCAGACCGATCCACAACCCCTCTTTCTCACCGCCTTGAAAAGCTTGCAAAAGCTTAGCATCAAGTTTATTCCAAAAGCGACCCCGCGAAGATGCAAGTGCCATTTGGAAATACCCCAGAAGCCAAGTTTGGAAGTGTATAAAGGGCCCGTTTTCGTTCTTCTAAGAACAATTTCATTCTCAGCTACAAAACAATGCTAAGGAATCGGTCTTAGTTACCGCTGTGATGCAGTACCTCCCTGTGTCCCATTGGAAAATTATATCAAGCTGAGAAGTGGTATTTTACCACTAAGGAACTGGCTGATTCAGTGACTACCAACTCCTCCGTATGTTTTCGTATGGTAAACTGGGTCAACTCGGAATACCCGCATTGTTCACGCTAATACTAGCATTTCAGTTTATCAGACGCCCCCAACAGCGATCTCCACTCTTCAATAACTCGTTCAACTGGTTCCCCTCAGTGCTAGCATGTACGGAAATTCTACGACCCCCTAAAATCTCTGCTCGAACTATGTAGCGTAAGCAATTACGTACCAAGCGATTAACGTATTCGGCATGCGAGCTGGCCGGGTAAGCGAGCTGGCCACCCACCCAAAAACACCTCATGTAATTAGACCGTCTTTATTCAACCACCCACCATGCCACCAATTCGCTCTCAAAGCTCTCAAAAACGTACTGAGCAAGAGGGTAGGATCTTGTTAGCTATTGAAGCCATTCAGAAACAAGAAATTAGCTCTTTACGCAAGGCTGCAGAGCTTTTTGATGTCCCCCGCTCTACGCTCTCGGCGCGTCTTAGTGGTATCACCTACCGCGCCGAAACACGCGCTAACAGCCATAAATTGACTGTTTTCGAGGAGGAATCGCTATATAATTGGATCATCTCACTAGATGATCGTGGAGCTGCTCCTCGGCCGAGTACTGTACGAGAGGTAGCGAATTTACTACTGGAAGCGCGTGGATCTACTCCACCCATTACGGTCGGCGAAAAACGGGTCAAAAACTTCGTCAATCGATATCCTGAGCTCTCTACTCGATTCTCTAGGGCTTACGACTACCGGCGAGCTCAATGCGAAGACGAAAAGGCGATTTCAACGTGGTTTAACTTCGTGAGGTCTACGATCGAGAAGTACGGTATTCTAGACGATGATATCTACAATTTCGATGAAACCGGCTTCGCCCTCGGTCTTACAGCTACCGCAAAGGTTGTGACGAGAAGAACCTACGGTCGGAGAGCTGTTTTACAACCTGGAAACCGCGAATGGGTGACTGCAATTGAAGCTATAAGCGCGGCAGGGTGGGCGCTACCGCCATGCGTTATCTTTAAGGGCAAGGTCTTTATGGAGGCCTGGTTTAAGGATACCAACTTGCCGTGGGATTGGCGCTTCGAAGTCAGCAAGAATGGATGGACAACCGATGAAATAGGCCTCGCATGGCTTCAAAAGCACTTTATTCCATTGACTACTAGCCGGACGAAGGGAAGGTATCGTCTCCTAGTCCTCGACGGCCACGGCAGCCATCTTACGCCTAAGTTCGACGATATCTGCTCAAAAAATAGGATTATACCGATCTGTATGCCGGCGCATTCATCTCATATCTTACAGCCTCTCGATATCGGCTGTTTTGGGGTGTTAAAGCGGGCATACGGGAAGCTAGTTGAGTCGCAGGTAAAGCTTGGTGTCTGTCGAATCGATAAAAACGACTTTCTTACGGCTTATCCTGCTGCTCGAAATGAAGCATTTAAGCAAGACACTATTCTGAATAGCTTCGCAGCTGCTGGTATCGCCCCTTTTAACCCGGATCGCGTGGTTTCGAAGCTTTCTATACGCCTACATACCCCACCTCCTCCGAGCCGTGGAAGCGATTCGAGCCTCAATTTTACCCCGAAAACTCCGTATACAGCGAAGGATGTACGGCGACAAGCATCATCTATTAAGAAAATGCTACAAGACAACCCATCGCGGGTAGAGGCAGCCTTTGAGCAGATCGTAAAAGGCTGCCATTTAGCTATCCATGGCGCTACTATTATGCGTCAGGAAAATAGCGAATTACGGGCTGCCAATGCGAAGACTACCCGAAAGAAGCAGCGTACAAGGAAGCGAATAGCTCACGAAGGTGGCATGACTGTTTTGGAGGCTTTATCGATGGTTTCAGGACAAGAAATAGCTGATGAAGCAGGATCAGCTAGAGAAGGAGGGTCTTCGCCAACACCTACTCAGCCTCCTCAGAGAGCAAGGCAGCGGTGTAGCCTTTGTAAAAATGTAGGACATAAGAGAAATAGGTGCCCAGAGAGGTCTGAATAGCTTCAGTTTCAATTATAAGATGTTGTGGTGCTGAAATGTACAATTTAATGCTAGTAATAATTGGTGGGTGGCCAGCTCGCTTACCTGGCCAGCTCGCATGCCGAATACGTTAGGTGGAGAAAGCCGGGATTCCAAGGGCTCAAAAATCGCGCACGGAATCCTTTAAGCAAAATGTTTATTAACTGTATATTCTGCCCCCGATCAGATTAGATTGATTAACTGCTCAATTCATTTGTTATTTCTGTTATGGCAGCACCTAAAGAACCGTGGGTACTCTCGTGGATCCCCGGTGTATTGCGCAGATTTTGTAAGATTGTCGACAGCAATACCTACGCGGATATTCAGGCAATGGCCCCCATCCAGTCACCCGGCCAGCCCCAAGAGCCGTTAACACATAATGGCGCCAAACACGAAAAGCATCCCGACCTAGAGAGCAATCACAAGTGGCCTCAGCCACCTGGGTTCGTGAATGCTTTCGACAAGGTTGTTGTATTTGCAGGCACGCCTCTCGTTTTCTTCTTTATGATTGCCGGCTTACTCGCCTGGCTGATTATTGGCATTGTGCTAGGACCGTCCCAGGCGTGGCAGATTGCGATGCAGAACGTTAGCTCTATCCAGTGCTATGTCTCCGATACCCTCCTTATGCGGCAGCAGCGCAACAACTCGCGCGACCTGTTGAGCTTGGTCTGTGTTCTCCGCTCGCGGAATTCAGCCTGCCGACGTATACTGGAAAAACTGCACCTAACCAATCCCAGCTACTTTGACTTCAAGGTGCAAAGTGCGGGTACGGAGATCGAGCTGGATATCCAACAAATTGATGATGGCGTCCATCTCCCGCGTCACAGCCTATACGATCGAATATGTGACCCCATTGTTTGGGCATTTAGCTCTCTCTACGCGTGGGTGACCTTCTGTATCGGGATCTCCGTCTGGCTAGGTTTCGGTCACGAGCAACAGTGGGGCAACAATTGGCAGCTATATATCAATAGCGCAACGGCTGTTGAAATCACTTTTGTCAGTGTCTTTTTGCAAAATACCCGACAGCGTCACATGAGGTATCTCAAAGAGTGTTTTGCGTTGATCATGCATGAGGATATGTGCCTAGAGAACCGATTGCGCGAAATCACGGGCGACTCAGAACCAAACCCCACTGCGGAATTCAAGTACGATTATAAAACAGAAACTACTCGAGGCCAGCGATTGATCGACTATTATGGAGCGATCATCGGCACGGGCATTGGACTGGTTTTATCGACGATTGTATTCGCGGTGTGGATCGGCATCGGATCGACGATGCAATGGAGTTCGAACTGGTGGCTGATCATCGGCACATACACGGGACTCGTAGGATTCGTCGACGGCTTCGTGTTGCGGAACGCCTACTTCGGCGGGTCCCGGGTGGTTGACGGGCAGTTCGACGTGCTGGCTAATGCGGACGCCCAGCTAGGCGACTTGCTTGGGATATCGGAACTTTCCCCAGACACCGTCGAGTTAGACTCCCTGCAGACTCGCATTGCCAACATAATCGGCGAGTGGTGCTCCTGCTCGGGTGCCGTGATAGGTTCCTTTGTGACCGTGCTGGCAGTATTGAGCATTGCTACTGCTATGCACTGGTCGGAAACAGGACAGCTGATCTGCAACACGCCGACCATGATTATTGAGGGTTTCCTGCTGTTAGTTTTGATGCAAGCGCATAACATGACCAACACACACCGGCGGCTACAGCTCCGCAGCGCTCTCCGGCGACGACTGGCTATAAATTCGCAGATTTATCGTTTTATTTCGAACGGGGTTGAGAAGATTGGTTGTGAGAAGGATTCTCAAGGACGAAGTCTTGGCAGTTAATTTCGTGAAGGCTCTATTTAACCAGCAGATTGTTGCCAGACCTTGCAAGGTCCGTTTTAAAGCGCCTGGATTAGTGAAAATTACATCGCCATCACAGCCTGCTTTCTCTTCCGTTGTCGTTCACGTTCATTCTACAGTTTTAAACGGTCCTACGTGCCCCTAGGGAGAAGCTGTTGATGGAGATCTCCCGTCTCCAGGCGGATGTTCCCGCAGTTTTTCCTAGGACTGCGCCATTTCATGTTTGCCCTTTTAGACTGTTGACCTATATGAGGCCTCATTTACGTTCTCTCCCTCGCTTTCTCCTATAGTATCGAACCAGATGTTTCTGTCCCTTTCTCTTGGCTTCCTTTGCCTTGATGTCTCCGACGTCGTCAGATGTACGACGCGACTAAAGGTTTAAGCAAGCTAAAACAATAATGCCTAGAGTTGATAGGGCTAGATTAACCAAGCGGAATCAAATGAATTGAACAGTTCATTGGTTGAAAAGAGTGGAAATCAAGGGAGAGATTAAACACTCCATGGGAGCTGACAATACCAAAAAAACAATAACCCAGAAGCGCCTTCCACTATCAACAATGCAGACCAAGGTAGTGCTCAACTAAGCAGGTATTATGGAACTGATAGTACCCCACATTCGCCGGCCTGATTACCGGAAAGAGAGTGTGCGACACGAGCAAGGAATTATGCCCACTTTCCAATAAGCGCCATAATGCCTGCACCCGCCACTGTGCAGACAGTCATAAAAGACAGGCGCTTTCTGCTGTTCGTTCGGCAAGGGTCAAATAAGAAGTCGCGAGCCAGCAATTCCACCAAACAGGTATAAATCAAGATACCGGCAGAAATCGCGTCCAGGACGCCCGAGACGATGTTTGCGGTCACGCCATTAGGGTTGTATGTTGTTCGCAGGCCTAGTCCAATGGCAATGGAAATAGGTGTGGTTAACCCATACGCCATACACAGCAGCCAAGGCAGCCAGCTCTTTCTTTTAAACTGAATAGCAGACATTCGTGCGCCGATACCTAATCCTTCAAAGCTCTGGTGGAATACAAGAACTGGGTATAAAGTCGAGAATTCACTTCCGCAAACACCGAGGTTCAGGCCAATGATGACCGAGTGAAAGATGACACCAAATTCAAGGATCAGGAGAGCGGCGATCTGCTGTCGGAACGATCTCTCAGCGGCGACGGAGTCGGCAAAATCCCCAATATCCCAAGCACCCCCTTTCTCACATTGCTGCACAGGGGAAGTCTCTCGATCTCCTTCCTTTTCCTGAGGCATGGTTAGTTCGGGAATTTCACGTTCGTTGGTCTCCCGGACAATGTCGCCCCTCGGTTCTCCCTTCGTAATCCCATACTTCCACTCAACGTATAACTCAGCGCCAAAGTCCATTAGGAAGACAGCGATCGTCGACGTTAAAGCAATTGCAGGCGGCCATGAGTACTGTGACCAGTTACCAGTCATTCCAACACAAGTGTTGGGACCAATCTCCTCGTAGGCAGGATCCAGCAAATGGACGAATGCAGTGGCGATAATCACTCCTGTACCGAAGTAACGGGCAAATAGATACACATAGAGAGGGATCTTAAACCTCCTAGCTCGTTTTGCAACAACTGGGAAGAAGGTGGAAACGGTCGAGATCGCAAATATAACGAAGATGGACGAAATGCGGGCACCAAGCATGCCATCGTACTCATTTTTACCCAGCTCAAGAAAGCAGACAACTTGGGCAGGGTCTGCTGTGGTGAGATCGACATTGGAGGGGTCAAATGAGGAGGCCATAATAAATGAGAAACGTGCTGTGTGAACGGCGTGATCGAGTTGTTCATTTGGGGGGAATAAATACACCAGTAATGACCATGATGAGTGCCTTACAGGAGTACTGCTGGGGCGGACTTGAGTACCTTGGGGGTCCAAAAGTGCAAAACTCTGTCTAGGGCCCATTCATCTATAGACTAGTCGGGTTTTAGCTCAGAGGGCGTCAAAAAAGTTCAGCGGGTGCTAAAAACTTCTGACTCATCTTGGCACCTAGTGAAGATTACAGGGTGCCAGAATTCTATAGTAGGTAACTTTTAGTGGAATGGGTTTCAACTAGGGTTCAACTTTTGTCGAACCCGCATAATTAATTAAGATATAGATACCTAAAGTAAACATAATAGCTCAGCGGGTGCCAAAAATATTGTGACACCCATAACCTGCGGCACCGGAGCGCTGAGTTGGGTGCCGAAACTAGTTCTACACTAGTGGGCCTCTTTCCCTGAATCAGTAAGACAGTGGCTTGAATCGCTTTAATAAAGCTTGGTATGCGCCAACTGACCCAGTGCCGGAGTGCTTCTTGTGAATCATCAGAGGATTACCCCTCCTCCTGAAGGTTAGCAACGCTTCATCAAACGCAGCGAGCCAAATAGGAGCCAGGGCCCTAAGTTGTCAGACTCAGTGTAGGAAGGGAAAGTGAAACATCCTCACTGCGAGAAAGGACTAGGCAGGTCATCAAGGTACGAAGCGGTGTGGGTGCGCCACGTTTTCCCGTACCCGCAGCCGGTTCCGTGACCTTGTCTAAATACAGATACTAGTCAAATGTTCCTTCCCACTCCGCCCCACTATATTGGCCCAACAACCAACCCAAGTTTTTTTTTTCACTCCTACACCTCCCCTATTGCTCCGATTGTAATGAAATTAGGACCAAAAAGTAGCAAAACGGCGCAGCTATCTACGTCCCAAAGGTCAGCTATTATCTATGCTCACGAGAATGGCGCTACGCAAGTGCAATTAGCTAATGACTTTGGCTGCTCTCGGCGTACAATCTACAATACGCTAAAACGCTATTCAGAAGGCGAAAAGCTAGAGAATCGCGAAAAAAGCGGCCGTCCCGCTATTATTAGTGAGCGCGCTTGCTCTCATCTCTATTTACAGGCACGTCGGCATCCGTTCTGGACCTATAAACAGCTAAGTGCTGCTACAGCTCAGCATCCGTCACCCTCCACTATACGTCGAATTTTGAAGCGATTCGGACTCGGAAAACGGCGATCGAAACAGAAAATACCAATTAAGCCTCCTCTTGCAAGGAAGAGGCTAAAATTTGCGCGAAAATGGCGACGCGAAAGCTTCCAATCGTGGATCTTCTCGGACGAGTGTTCGGTGCAACGAACCTCGAACTTTGGACCACAATGGTGCTTTCGTACAACCTCGGAGGGCCTTCGTAAGGACCTTGTGAATGCTAAGGCTCACGTTAAAGATATTTCACAAATGGTTTGGGCCGGAATCTGGCTAGGAGGTCGAACAGAATTAATAATTATGGAACGGGACAAAGAATCGCGGTCGGGGAGGGGTTATACTGCGAAGTCGTATATTTCGACGCTCGAAAAAGGTCTGATGCCAATCTACACCCCTAATTTAGTATTTCAGCAAGATAACGCGAGGATTCATCTAGCGAAGGACACGCAAGAGTGGTTTGAAACTCACGGAGTATACGTCGAAGACTGGCCCGCGCACTCACCCGATTTGAACCCAATTGAACCGGTATGGCGCTGGTTAAAAGTGAAGCTTTTTGCATTATTTCCGGAGCTTATTGGCATGGGAAGGTCGGAGGCAGACTGGCATTATTTTAAAAAATGCCTAGTGGAAGCTTGGAAGGCATTAGATCAGGCAAAGATAGATACGCTAATATTGAGCATGGGAAGACGTTTGAAGGCAGTGCGGAAGGCTAAGGGGTATTACACAAAATATTAAGCGAATTTTTGAAAGTGCTATTATTAAGCAACCCTGAAATTTGTTGTGATCTGAAGCTCGCCAAGCACTGCTAATGCTTGGCTGAGCAGCGCTATAGAGAGCTTCAGAGCACTTGGTTGAATGCATCAAGCAACGTGGCCTTTTCATATTGCTAGTGAGCTGATCACGCAATAGTTTCATGAAAGGCATATCGTATGCATTTGACCATTATAAATAGCTATAGAGAAGCCTCCTTCGGGAGGTAGACTTAAATCATCTCGTTTTACTGCCCATTGCTCATGCATAGTGCTTCTCAGACCATTGTAAATTACAACAAAATTTAATTATATTATTATAGACCATAAAATGGTGGTGCTATATACTGTGTAACTGATATATATATTTTGAGAGGGGACCCGAAAAAGTGGAGTGGGAAGGAACATTTGGTAGGGGATGTATGTCATAAATCCGGTTCAAAGATTGCAATTATTAGACTTGGTCGTTCTGATCAAGACTATTTTCTCAACTTGAGGGTCTCTTTGAGGGTCGATGCGGGTAGTGAGGGTCCCCTTGAGGGTCGCTGCGGGTAAGCGAGGGTCTATTTGAGGTTCGTTGAGGTTCATTTATTAGGTTATCCACTACGTTAGCCAATCAGATCTAGCTATGTGGATAGAAAAGATGATAGATCAATTCAAGCATATAGAACAGGGACTAACGGATGCCCCAAGAATATCGCGCATCTTTTTCTACAAATTGAACAGTAAGTTCCTCATTATCTTCCTCCTCAGTCATAGTACTGTCTTCTGGTTACTAAATCTATCATGTCTCAGCTCTCCGACGTCTACGCATCATCTTGCTTCGACGGGGTGCAATTAGACGCGCTACAATACCTTGTTCCTAACGATTCCCTATCCCAACGCGAAAGCCAGAGTCAACTACCCGAAAGTCATTTTGGATCAGTTCCAGACCTTCCAGACCTTCCAACCTATCGATCGCGCGTGGCACCTCAGGCCCCAGACACTCTTACGCGAATCAAACCAGACCGTATCAACGAGTACGTCGTCTTCACAACTACAATGACCGCAGAATTTATTCAGTGGTGGCTTGAAACCGACTTTGGTAAGAAGAAGCGGATCAACTGGGATGTGAACCGTCGTGCAGAGTGCTGGAAAGGGTTTCAACAAGTTGCAAATGCCAAAGATGGGAAGCCAGGCGTTATATGCAAACGGTGCCGTACAATTCTTGAGCATCCAACTACCAACCATACTGGAACCTCATCGATGCAGAAACATCTCGATGGGCTAAGGTGCCGACAGCGAATACCGAAGAAGGGTAATATCCAGCAACTACTTAGTGACGCGGTATATTTAAACCAGCCTACATTCAATATCAATACTAATACTATTTCACAATTTAGGCCGAGAGAAGACCAGCGCCTACCTTTACCCAGCAAATATGGGAGCAGAAGATCCTAAACCTGATTACTGTATCGCATTTACCCTTCCTATTCGTCGAACATCAAGAATTCCATGACCTCCTTTCCTACGCACGGCTAGCACCTACACCACCAAGTGTTCCATCAAGAAAGGTGATTCGCGAGCGCCTTCGGGATTTTGTTATAGAACATCAACAGGAGACACTACAACGGCTTCCATCTAGTGCAAGAATGTCGATTGCGCTTGACTGTTGGACTTCTCCATTCCAGCAAGCATTCATGGCTATCACAGGATACTTCCTAGACCAGGAATGGGAGTATCCCGAGGTTCTCCTTGGGTTTGAGCCAATATCTGGATCTCATACCGGAGTGAACCTCGGTAGGGTTGTTCTCCAGATCCTAGAGAAGCACCAGATCGCTGACCGTATACTGGCGGTGACAACTGATAACGCGTCTAATAATAAGACACTTATCACAGCGGTGAATGATTCGGCTAAGACGCTACAGCAAGAGACAGATTCTACGATTGTCCAAGTGCCCTGCCTTGCGCATGTTATTCAATTAAGTCTAATTGATTTACTCGGTAAAATTAAGGCCTCCCCGAAGAATGACAACGCCGAGACGGAATGGTCTGAAGATCGTGTACGTTCACTTCGTGCGCGCCAGCAGAAACATGAGATCGCCGATACTCTAAATAAGGTAAGCTTAAAGCTTCTATTTACGAATCATGATCTAATAACGCTAATAATCCTTATAGGTTCGCGGTCTCGCAGTTTATATCAACGGAAGCCCTCAACGCAAAGAAGCCTTCTTGAATCTTCAATCTAATAACGCTGGGATAAGGCTTCTCCCAATCCAGGATGTCCGTACACGATGGAATTCGACATTTCTGATGCTCCGACGGGCGAAAAGACTTCATGACACATTCGACAAGTACTGCAAGGACTATACCCAAACCCATTTCGCATTGAGTATCGAGGGGTGGCGACAGATTGACTATCTACTTTGCATTCTCCAGCCCTTTTTTACGCTTACTACGCTAGTTTGTCGTACTAAAGACTCGAGTATCCACCTTTTCTTTAGGATTTATAACAAGCTTTTTGATCATCTTGAAAGATCAATACGTCAGCTGCGTCGAAAGAAAGTTCACTGGAAACAGCTAATGCTTTCCTCCCTTGAGGCTGCGAAGGAGAAACTGAAGAAATACTACGGCGAGACAGATGATATCGAAGGTAACCTCTATGCAATTGGGACGATCCTAGCGCCGTCGAGTAAGATGGAGTTCTTTTCAACAAGTGATTGGGACCTAGATCCTGAGATAGGAAAGGACTATAGAAAGGAATACCGCGAGAGTCTTCAGTCTCTTTTCGAGAGATATAGCCAACGTGTACCATCAGATATGATACAGCCTACTAGCCAGTTATTAATAACTGAATCGGAGCTAGAGAGGGCCCTTGACAACGATTCTTCACCACGATCAATTGCTCCGCAGTACGACGAGCTCACCAAATATCTCCAGAGTGGTAAGTAAGTAAGCCTATTTTATGAGTCATATAACTAACCTCACCTGATTAGATACTATTAAAGGATCCGTTCGGATCTTCTGGAAAGATCATCAGTGAGAATTCCCTGTTCTTGCAAGCATTGCCCGTGATATCATGTCAATTCCAGCTACTGGTGCCGGAGTTGAGCGTCTGTTTAACTCTGCTCGGGATTTGTGCCACTACCGCCGGGGGTCGTTGAACCCAGAGACTATTCGTGATATTATGTTGTACATGTGTACAACAAGATTTGATATTAAGGAGGAGCAGCGGCTGATTCTCCAAGAGTATCTCTTAGACCATGAGATAGCTGCTTCGGCAGAAGCACTTGATGTCCAGACACATACCTTCGAGGCTATCAGTGATGACGAGGAGGAGGATGTTGAGTTGCGTCTTGATACACCAGCTGCTATATCAATTATGCAAACAACCCCGAACGCACCGCCACTCTCAGCAGTCGCCGCTGGAAAGCGGCCTGCGGTCACTTCTAGTGATGAGGAAGATTCTGATGCCGATAGATTTGCGAACCCGGAGGAGAACCTATCATTATCCTTCCCTGATACGCAGCATCGTGTATCAGGTAGGATACGGAAGAAGTCGAGACTACTGGATGGGTCTATAGTTTGACTCTTGGCTTGTTAGAACCATGAATAGACACTGTGCTATAGATGTAATGTAAACCATTCAAAATTTAAACCCCTATTCGAGGATGAACCTATGGTATGCACTAAGGAGTGGACATGTATTATTCCTTCTGTAAGGCCATACAGTGATGAATTTTAGTTTACAATTACAATGAAATACAGCCTGTTTCTACATAATTTATGCAATTGACGTCCAGTCACGTCTTTTACCTGTTTGTCATGTTTGACGACCCTCCCCGCGGGTCCAGGTTTCGGACCCTGACCCTCCGCATGGGGAGGTGAGGGTCAGGGTCGTGGAGGGTACCCGCGGGTCCTAGCCAGGCCTAGATATCGACCTGTCTGCTATGCCAGACTGCCATTGAGCCATCCCCATTTCACTATATAGAAACACAATAAAAATGGGTCACTCGGTATAACCCCTGTCTAAGCAGTAAGTTACCGCTCCATTTCTCGACACCATCCTGCCTCGTCCTAAATACCCTTTCTTAGTCGTGATACCACCTTAGAGAAATAAACAAATAACCTAGGGAAGGATGGTTATTTAGGGGAAAAGGTAATACTTACATTCTTAGCAATGATATTCCCTAGTAGTGGAATAGGAGGCGCAGGCGCTTTTTACAAGCTTTGCGGTCTCAGTCGTGCCGTCTGAGCCTATGGTCACCCACGTGTCTGAACAGCCGCAGCCACCAAACAATCCGCTTGAGCACCCCACGGTGCATTTGTAACCACCACTGTAGTCACAATTGATCCATCCACCAGGACAGTATCTAGCGGTTGCGATTTGAAATAAAATAGGGGAGACAAGGAGAAGCCAAGACCAGTTCGCCATATCTTTTGGGTCGTGAATTTTTTCGGACTGGTGAATAAAGATTGTAAGGAAATTCGATTCGAAAGGTACCACTGACTATGTGCCAAGATCTTGACGTGAGGAAAGAATAAGGAGTTCGGATGTTGGTCTGCTGTATTACGCTAGTTAAAAAAGAGGGAAAGAGTGGCTTTTATAAACTAATAGTGGCAGCTGGCTTCGCGTAGAAGGTCTACCTACTACCCGTGCCGTAAATAGTCATATGATATAGGTAGATAAAGCGAGCCCCACCCATCAGCAGGACACGTTGGAATTTTAGGAGCTCGCTGATTGGTGGGGCTCGCTATCTGGTGCAAATGGCTCGTCGAGTAGATTAGTCGTTGGTTCCCCTTCCACAATCGTTCCTCTTGTATTATTGGAGAAGGAGAACCGACGATTAACACCCACGTTGCTTTCTTCGGCTTTGGTTATATCTAGCGGGCGTTGGTCTTCGGTTAATGTAGTGGATTGGAGGCGCATTTGCCCTCCAAAATATCGTCAATCCAGAGGAGGGAGTGAGACACGGGGCGAAGTCGTACGAAATGGATAGAAATTTGTTTCATCGCTGTTATCACAAAGTCTCTTCCCCGAATTCTATTTGGTTTAGTACCTTTCAGTAGCTGCATTGCGGTGGGGCACTAGCCCGCAGCCCCGAAGCAACTGGATGAGTTTCACAAAGTACATAGATGGATGTTGACGGCTCTGGGAGAGATGCAAATCGACTTTTGTGTATATTCGCTTACAGATGTTTTGCTCGTACTGTCATGTTTACACCATAGAAGTAAAGCGATGGATCGTCTTCACCACAAGGTGGAGAAAGGAATGGCACGTTTACAGTACCGGTCTTCACCGCCGCGACACATTTTTAGCCTCCTTCCCTTGGGGCTGTCAGTTTTCTTGCGGTATGCTAGGGGACCAGGTAATGGTGGTTTGAGAACCAAATGACCAGGTGCGCCACTCTATGCCAGATTGGGAAAAGAGTGGCCCGTGGCGGTTCAGTTCGATGCGTTGCTGGGGTATTTTTATGCTTCGCGGTTAGAGGAGGGAGACACAGGAAAATAGTGCACCGCGGTGGTTGAGTTCGATGCGTTGCCGGGATATGCCATGCGCTCGCAGTTAGAGGATGCAGTCATGAGTTTGCGGTTCTGAACAGCCACGCTTGAGCCTCGGTCCTGAAGCAAGGCCATATGATGTTACCAACGACTACTTAACCCCCTTTCCCCCTACGTGGACCTTCATTCGCAGAGCGGAACAACCAAAATGATTGATCGTCCATGCTCTATTACAGCACCCACATCTGAGGCCTTCTGAAGGCTATTGGGATTTGGATGCCGTTGATCGCTGGATTGACGACTTGCTTGGAAACCATGAATTGGTGAATACACTAATTCGATTTTCATCAGATGCAGAAGACGTGGTACACACACACACACACAATTCATTAACGCCCGGCGGCTGAGCCGAAAGGGCAACTATCACTGATCTAAATGTACATGCCTTAGCCAATGCTGTGCCTCCTTGGAGCCCATACAAAATTCCTTTCAGTGTATGTCATCTCAGATGTCAATATCTCAGCGGGTCCTTGTGGGTTAGTGTTGTTAGTAGACTTGCTTGAAGGCGCTTCTCCAAGTGTTCAACATCCTATCCTCGGCAGTTGAAGCGCGTCTACCGTCTCTGGCACAAGGTAGTTGGTAGGGGTTCGATTAGGGTTGAGGCGGGGTAGGGTTAATCTGTGTTGGTCGACGCGGTCAAGCGGTGTCGAGTCGGCCCGTGGCGATTGCAAACCGTATTGTGGCTCGCACTGCTTCCAAATTCGGCTTCCAGTTCTGGTCATCCAAAGGCGATTTTCCGCCTAGGAAAAAAGATATGTTGCCTCGGTGAGTATGGGTACATTGCAGCATTTCCGTCCGGTGTGTGGTCCACCTCTGACATCGAAAGAGGAAGTGCTCCACACGGTCTCTCTGGCTTGTCCACATGCGCATTGATCTGACTCTGCGACATTGATTCGATGGAGATATCCGTTGAGTCTAGCCATGCCAGTCCGGAGTTGGGCCAGCGCGCTCGCTTCTTTCCACGATAATCGATCATACAACTGCCGGGTATGTTTTCCTGGGAGTGCTGCATCCACTCGTTTGGAGTGTTTCCCTACATTCTCTGGCAGGCACTTTTTGGGGACTGCTTGGGGTCGTGAGATGTTCAGTGTTGTCGACTTCATCCGTGGGACCTGCGCTTGCGGGGTAGCATCCTCTTGCGTCGCGGCCCGAGCCTGCTCTTTCGCTAGGCCTAGCAGTTGATTACCTTCGCTGGTCGGGACCCAACAGATGCTGATGCGGTTCTCGTGCTTCCGTAGTCTCTTGATCAGCTTGTATGTTTGGCAGATGTGTTCCTGGCCCGATTGTTGTCGAGGATTCTTCAGCGTGAGAGCCGCGGCTTTGTTGCTCGTGAGCAGCGTGACCCTGCACCGTTTCAGTCCCCGTAGCGTGCCCAGTGCGTATGCCATTGCTGCCAATTCGCCGGAGTATGGGTTCTGCTCGGTCCTTGCGCCCAGCGTGACGGATAAAGTTTTCAGCCTCGGTTTTCGATACCGAGGTGGCTGCTTCTCAATCGCCACGCCAAATCCTACCATTTCATTCCGCGCCGAACTGCTGACCGCGATTCGCATGGCTCCGCCCGCTTCGGTCTGTGTCTCCGGTACATCATAACTATCGCTCTGCACCCGTTCTTCCCACGGTGCCAGTGTGAATGGATTGATGGTTTCCAGGGTTTCCATCTCAATGGTCTTCAGCGCGTCGGCGACCTGATACAAAGGCGAACGGTGGTATCTTCTGAATTTCTTGATCTGAGCAGTACTCCTGCGGAGGGGATTAGTTACCGGTAGGGTGTGCATATCGGTCCACATCTTCGCAGCTCGTCTCCAGAGCCGGTGTTGCACCGTGGCGATGTGAGCCTCGGCTTCCGCTACGCTGGTGGCAACTGTGAGGAATGTCCCGACAATCGCTTGCGCTCCTACCCTTTGCACTCTGTTGATCGGCCCGATGTTCTTATTCTTGCATGCGTGCATCCAGACATTGGAGGCATAGTCCACCACCGGGGCCACGGTCGATGTGAATAGCTGCCGCGCTGTTGCGGGGGATAGACCCCGAAGCCGCCGAAGCTCTATCGCCGCCTCGAGTCCCTTGGACGCTGCCCTCGCGATATGTTCCCTGTATTTGAGTCTCGTGTCCATTATGACGCCAAGAACCTTGACATGGTCTCTTGGTTCAACGGTCTCTCCCTTGATAGTGAATGGCTCCGAGTCCAACTTGTGCGCCTTAGGGGCGAAGTGTATGATGGCAGTTTTCTCTGCTTCAAAAGTCGCTCCACTTCTTCTTTCCCAGTCGAGTGCTTCATTGACGATTGTTTCAATACCGTGCCGGTTACTCTGCGCAGTCGGTCCGGTCACCCACGCGGTAAAGTCATCCACGAAGGCAATCGCGCCTCCCTGGCCGTCGAGCTGTCGCTGTACGAGATCTGCGTTGAAGAAGAGGAACAGGATCGGGGACAGGGGAGAACCCTGAGGCAGTCCAGCCTGTGGGAGGCTTTGGGCCTCAGATGCTTGCCCATTGATATGGATGGTCGCCGTTCGCTCCGAGCAGAACTCTTCGACCCACCGAAGCAGGACCTCCGGTATACCTCGCGCTTTCATCCTCTGGAGCAATCGCTCCTTACAGACCCCATTGTAGGCTCCTTTGACATCGAAGCTGATCAGGCTCAAGACCCGTCGGCCACGCCATGCCGCGTAGATTTGCTCTTGCAAAAGTAAGAGAGCTTGCTCCGCTGACCGCTGCTTACGAGCCCCAAAGTGGCTAGTCGGAAGTAGGCCGTAGGTTTCCACCGCGTGTGAGATTCTTTCTGCGATGACTGATTCCAGCACCTTGCCCAGTGTCGCGAGGAGTGAAATCGGCCTCCAGGCCTTCGCAATCGTATAGTTCTCTTTGTTCGGTTTTTTGAGCGGTATGATCTTCGCATGTCTCCACTGCTTGGGCAATGTGCCTTCATCCAGCGACGCTTGGAACAGCTCCAGGACCCCGTGTTTGACCACGGGCCACGTCATCTTCCACACTATCGCTGGTAGGCCATCTTCACCTGGTGCTTTCCAAGACTTTGTCGCCAACAGCTGCCGTTCGACCTCTTCCATAGTGATGGCAGACATCTCCACGGGCGCTCTCTGCGGCCTGGTCCCTTCATCGTCAATTCTGTCCGGCAGTGGCGGGAAGAATTTGGTCAGCAGTTCCTCCGCTTGCTCTTTGTGATCGGCGGTCATAGTTCCATCCGCCCTGAGGAGCTGTGGGACCTTCCCGAATGCTGCATCATCTCCCGACTTTAGGTATTTCGCGGCTTCCCATATATTATCGTTGTCGGCCAGAAACTCATTCCAGTGCTTCTTCTTTTGTTTCCGTATTGCATCGTGGTATTGTTTCGCTGCACTCGCGGCCATGTTCTCCAGATGCGGCACCTTTCGCCCTGCCCGTCGCTCCGAGCGGGCGTGGTTTCTCCAATATGTGTATATCTGGCGGAGTTGTGTTAGGTCCGCCGTCCACCATCGCTTTGCGTGTGGCGACGGTTTGGCCCTCGGCGTCAAAGCATGCACCGCCTCCGACACCACAGACATGAGTCGGTCGGTTTTCTGCTGCACCGTGCCTTCCGACGGGGTGGCGGCGAGCGCCGTCGCAATCCGGGCATTGATTTCCTTCCATGGCGCATTTTTCAGCAAAAGTCGCTCTGGATGTTGTGGAGCCGGCCACGGGGCGTCAAAAACGGTGTCAATGGCGCAGTGGTCCGAGCCGTGCTCTGTCCCATGTATCGCACATTTGACCATAGATTGTGTCAAGTTTTCTGAGGCCAGGACGAGGTCGATCGTGGACTCGCAGTCCCCATTCTGTCCTCCGCCGTGCCATGTCTTGGTGCCTCGTTTGAGTAGGCTGCTAAGAGAAAATTCGTTCATGAGGTCGATGATTGGATCCGCCTCTCCCTGTCTTGTCAAAGACACTTCGTCTCCTCCCCAGAGCTGATCGTGGCGGTTAAAGTCTCCCACGATCATGATCTCCACCACCGTTCCCGCGTCTTGCCGTACCTTACTGATTGCTTTTCTGAGGCGATCACATGCGTCGTCCAACGCTACGGCATCTCCGCCCTCTACGTAGACCGATGCCATAAATATCAGGCGCTCCGGGAGGCGGATGACCGCTGCGGTCAGGTCCGGCGACTCGATCGGCACTTGCTCCGCTTCCACATCCTTATTTACCCACAGCATGCTTCGGATTGCCCATCGGCCCTCCCTCCAAGCGGAGGGAACCATCTTGGTCCATTTGTGATGTGCCATCGGGCCAAGAGACATAAAGTAACTTCGGCAGGCCTACTTGCATAGACCACTACCCCAGTTTTTCACCCGATACAGTAAATGAGGTTTCTGGACTCTTGAGGTGGACAAAGCCTCTCACCCTGGGTGTCTCTCAGTTTGCTCCTTAAGCATACATCACGGGCAAATCACCTAGGACGACACCGCTTCAACCAGGCTAACCTGATCTCTGGCCCTCAGTGCGAGTGAGGTAGTTGATTCCCGACTCTTTGTACACCGACACGCGCATCCGTCCTCTCGGGCCATACAGACAGTCTCTTAACAGGCCCCGACCCTGTCGCAGTGGCTGCCATTGTACACCACGCCCCGCGAGAGCTTAAACTCTCGTTTCGCGTTACTTGGGGAGGTCTCCCCCACCAGGCCGACCGTGTCTTGCAGAAAGCCCTTGTGTACGCTCCGTCCGGCAGTGTACGTCGGCCACTTTCCACTAACCAAGCTTGTCCCCCGATGCCTGAGCAGGATCGATGGTTTGCCCGTGGCAACGCCTTAACGAGGTCCATCGTTTGCCACCAGCCAACTACCAGTCCCTTCCAGAACGCCCGTGTCTCAGTGTTGTCCGTGTCAAGAAGAGGAGCCGCACCAAAGGTTGCCCGTGGCCAGGCCTTAACGAGGTCTCCTGGGCCTTGAACGAGGTCTGTTCGAGATTAGCTTGACTGCCTGTGTCACCGGTTCACTACGGCCTCGCCGCATCTCGCACGATGCGATCCCAGACCGTATGCAAGCTCAGGGGTGTCCTGTCTTCTTTCTAGGGCGACACCACTTCCACTGGTAATGCAAGACCAGCTTCAGGGCCCGAGTGCGAGTCGGGTAAAAAGAAGTCGGATGGTTTTCGTATCCCGTTGTCCTCGTGGTATTAGTTAAATGGCATGAGCTTTTAAAACCGGCAGAAAATTATCTAATAGCTGAGTGGGTCTAAGGAGGGTGTCCAAACTTATGGCCAGTCACTGTATCAATAGATTGATTGTAGATCCAGGGTCCAGTAGACGAAGCTTCATATCTAATGTTTTTCTTTGATAGCCAACTTTTCAAAGTCTGGAAGATTAAGGCTTTCCTCTTTTTCAATCCCACACAAACTTGATTTCTTTGTCGTTTTCCCCATCTTATTTTCATTGTCTCTAATTAAAAAGGACTCAACATTAAACTTCATATTACGAGGCTTCCATCCATTCTCTAATGCTTGTCTGATGGCCAGTCGCGATACGTCAGCGAAGGCATCTTTCCATCTAGGTAGTCGTCCTGCCACTCCTGCGGGAATCAGCGGCGTGATGGAGGGACATCATCAAATCAATACAATTACTTTTCAAGGAGCGATTGACAGCGAGCTGGGAAATCACGCACGAAGTACGCTTGAAAACAAAAAGGGGGAGTAACAATGGATCAGAGGATCCAATGTATGATTGGTTCCCGACTACTCCTTGCTCCACCTTGGAGAAGCTCTATACATCACTTGGTGTGCGTTGCGCACGGTAGCGAAGACGGAGGTGCGTGGGTAGTACGTGGGCTTCGACGTGGAACCAGGAAATTTTATACCGACAAAGTATACATAATACACGCGTGATGCTTGCATAGTCGCAGTCTTTGTAGCGTAGTTGACGCTCAGTTGCACATGTTTGCTTACAGATCAAAAAAGGCTCTCAGGCAGTAAGGCTCCAAGGCCAGGACATCAAACGCGCCAAGTATCACTGTATGTAAGTGGCTAGCGCACAAGCGTGGATGTGAATCGCGATTTCCCGGTTTCTGTATCTGAATTTAATTCTTTAATTTCCTCGGCAAGCTACGGATGATTCAATGTCGTTCTACGGAGGTTAATAGGGATCACGAGTGCAATAACCCAGAATCCAATATAATTGGGCAATCTGTATACCGCCTCCTTTTCCGCCCGTATTTTATATCCTGTTCGCCCTACCTTAATTAGGTTAGCCACTATGGCGAGGAACAGACTTACAGTGACTGGACATAAGTTTCTACACTGTCTGGCCCCATCCCCTGATTATATAATATACTGCCAGTCAAAAACCTCCATGAATTCATACTATGGAATCTAATACGGTGTATACCGCCTCTGGCTCCCAATAATAGCTTCCATCCGCTGCGGAATCGTCTCAAGGAAATGCTCCCATCCTAGGTTTGCGTCGCTTACTATTTTTAGCATGGTTCTATACTACGCGCTTTAGGTAGGCGGTATAAATCAATAGAGACGGTGAGCTGGCCGGGGTGTAGAAACTTATGTCTAGACCTCGCCACGACCCGCGGGTCACCCTGACACCCGGACCACGACCCGGACCTCGGAGGGTCCTGGGTAGTGAGTCCCGACCCTGACCCTCCATGAGGGGAGGGTCGTTGAAAGTGCCCCCCGACTCTCAGGGCCACGACCCGACCCTCAGGGTCGTAAAACAATGCAAACACCAGCATGTCGCGCGGTGCACAAATTATGTAGGTTTTAGCTGTATTTTTGAGTATCTCACTTACAGCAGTTCTAGGCTTACTTTGCTACCTTTGATCACTTTGAATGCATTAAACAGATAGATTGAAGAGATGAACTGAATAGATGAATTGAACGAATTAACTATATATCCAATATTTCATATCCATCAAGCAACCTTGAACGCTTGCGAACTCTACCAGATACTCGGTGCTGTATCTCTGGCAGGCATGTCACTTCACTATCATCTTCCTGGTCACCTCCTGTATCCTTGGCTATACTGCTTAAGCGTCTTTTGCCAAGTGCGTTTGTAGATAGGCCTTGTGAAGCTGCTTGGCCAGGCGAAGTTGCTTGAAACTCTGTAGAAGGCCCCTCATCCTCTTCATCATCACTGATTGGATCAACGGTGATATGTTGCTGTGTTCTCTCTTCCTTTGCAGCCTGTATCTCCTGGGCTGAAAGATATTCAGACAGCATCATTCGCTCCTCTTCAAGAATCTCGAAACGCGACGTGCACATATACATCATAAGATCCGAGATTGTTTGAGGCTGTAGAGAGCCCCGCCGATAATGACAAATATCTCGCGCAGAGTTGAAAAGCCGTTCTACTCCTGCACCACTAGCTGGAATCGAAAGAATATCCCGTGCAAGCCTCGCCATTCTCGGGAATTCATCTTGGTGATATTTCCACCAAGTTCGAGGCTGAGCATTTGGTACTGTGTCTGAAAGAGAAATAAGTAATAAATTCTGTCGAAATTAAGAGAAACTTACTACTATCAAGATACCTTGTCAGCTCGTCAGATTGAACTCGCTGTGGAATCTGCGATTGCTGCGACTCGTCTCGAACACATGCTAAATCAAATTCATCCGTTTCTGGAATCATTAGAGGAGCACCTAATGTCAGCTGCTCCCGCGCAAGGTTCTCAGAGTACTTTTCGAGAGAGGACTCAAGGCTCTGGCGATAGGTTGCTCGGTAATCAATTCCGCCTTCCTCTGGGTCCCAGTCGGCGGTTGAGAAAAACTGAAGTTTATCCTGCGGAGAAAGGATTGTGCCAATGGCATAGAGATCGCCATCCATATTATCAGTGTCTTTATAGTAGACTGAGAGCTTGCTTTTTGCCGCTTCGAGTGACATAAGCATTCCTTGCTTCCAAGCGACCCTCTTCCGTCTAAGCCGTCTAATCGACTTTTCTATGTGATCAAATAGCTTATTGTAGACCTTAAAGACCCGGTGGATAGTGACGTCCTTCGACTTTGAAAGAAGAGTTGTGAATCGGTGAAAAGGCTGAAGGATGCAGATAAGATAGTCCACTTGTCGCCACTGCTCCTGACTTAGGGCAAAATGTTCTTGGTCGTACTGTGTACAGAAAGCATCGAAGGTTTGCTGGAGTTTCTTTGCGCGGACAAGCATTAAGAACGTGGAGTTCCATCGAGTAGCAACATCCTGAATTGGCACGAGCTTTGGCTCCTTAGTTTGTAAGTTGTAGAATGACTCTCGGCGCTGCGGACTCGCGTTGATATAGATCGCAAGGCTTCGAACCTAAGAGACAGATTAGGATAATGAATGGTAGAAAAGTTACGATATCTCACCTTATTTAGAGTGTCCACGATCTCGCGTTTCTGCTGTCTTGCACGAAGACTATCCACCCGGTCATCAGACCATGCCTGTTCAGCTACATCATTCTTTGGAGCAGCCTTCATCTTCCCAAGGAGGTCTTTAAGGCTTAACTGGATCACATGGGCAATACACGGTATCCGAATAATAACGACATCGTTGGCGGATTGTAGTGACTCAATCGCGTCGTGGACACTTGCCATAAGGGTAACGTTATTTGAAGCGTTGTCGGTGGTTACCGTAAGCACTCTATCTGTGATCTGATACTCCTGTAGCAGCTTGAAGAGCACTTCACTCAGATTTGCACCTGAATGAGATCCATGTAAGTGTTCGAATCTGAGTAGTATCTCATTGTACTCCCAGTCTTCGTCAAGAAAGTATCCCGTAATCGCTATAAATGCCTGCTTAAATGGCGATGTCCAGCAATCTAGAGCAAGTGATAGCTTCGCACCAGAAGGGAGTCTCTGAAGGATACTCTTTTGGTTCTCACGGACTAGGTCTCGAAGCTGCCGGCGCATAACCTTAGCAGAAGGAATTTCCGGCATTGACGGTGCAAGCCGGGCGTAGGAGATAAGATCACGGAACTCGGTGTGCTCGAGAAACAGAAAGGGGAGATGCGATACAGCAAGAAGCTTAGCAAGCTTCTGCTGCCAAACTCGCTCATCGAATCTTCGTACCGTCGCATTCTGCGCCTAAACGTCGAGGTCAGATTTAGGATCGTCACGGTTAGAGTTAGGTCTTATCTATACCGCATGCTCTAATGCAAGCTTGATATTTGGTTTCTTCCCTGCAGCTGAGGCAGCTTTTCGGCAATTTACCCCATTATAGTGCTTATTCATTGAGGTCGTCCCTGAATGA